GGTATGCAATATCTTGCGGACAGTTTTAAAAGCCAGCAGAAATAATTTTGTTAAAAATCAGCTCTTGGTTTTCAAGATAAGCAGCTTCACTATTTCTTTAATGGTTTTCCCATGATTGCACTTGGAGGGATAAAACGGGAAAAGGACTGACTGATCATTTGACAATCTTGTACCTCCATTGAAAATTACAAACTATGAATAGCCTGACAATGTGGATACCCCGGTAACATAATAATATAAGGGCTACACGCCCTCTCCCCTCCCCCCCCCCCACAAGCGCGGGCCCTTATGCAGTCGCCATATTTTCCAGCCTTCTAGCACCGGATCACTGGGTGGACAGTTACCCCGGATGGTGCTTTGTTTGTTATTATTGTATGGGCTATTGACTGAAGCCAGGATTATAGAGTAATAGGCAATGAGCTCTCCCAGTGGCGTCTCTATAGGTTGGTGTCACTTCTTCATGACACTCATTGTAGTGCATAGGTGTGGATGTCTCCTGGCACCTTCTGGCTTGTCCCCCGGGAAAGATGTGGATGTCTCCTGGCACATTCTGGCTTGTCCCCCGGGAAAGATGTGGATGTCTCCTGGCACCTTCTGGCTTGTCCCCCCGCGAAAGATGTGGATGTCTCCTGGCACATTCTGGCTTGTCCCCCGGGAAAGATGTGGATGTCTCCTGGCTCCTTCTGGCTTGTCCCCCGGGAAAGATGTGGATGGCTCCTGGCACCTTCTGGCTTGTCCCCCCGCGAAAGATGTGGATGTCTCCTGGCACATTCTGGCTTGTCCCCCGGGAAAGATGTGGATGTCTCCTGGCTCCTTCTGGCTTGTCCCCCCGGGAAAGATATGGATGTCTCCTGGCTTGTCCCCCCGGGAAAGATATGGATGTCTCCTGGCTTGTCCCCCCGGGAAAGATGTGGATGTCTCCTGGCACATTCTGGCTTGCCCCCCCCCCCTGGAATAACAATGACGAACACTTTTTAACTACCGGTACTTTCTATTTCTTGTATTTTCATTTGTCCTGTCTGCTGAGGAAGGCTCTTAGCCAAAACGCTCTTCTCTTCTTGTCCTGTCTTTCGATTCAAGTTTCCCACAAACCTTGTTCTACCAACACCTGTGTCCAGGACCGTGTTCAGATTTTACTATTCTCAAAGAATCACACATGAAAAAAAAAAGGAACTCTTCCATTTTTTTTATACTGGTGGTAACATTTTATTTTAAGTTGGGGCAGAGTCCCTTGAAGAATGACGATATGGGACAATGTGCCTTCTTTTTTTTTTTGCAGGGTATATGTCTACTCAACAGAGTATCCTTGAAGGTACGACGGGAGGAGAGCTACTCTCTGAACTGTGCATTTTTTAGGAGTCACTGGCCCTGTGCCCATAACGAACACAGATCTTTTTTGGCACTAGTGTCACCATAATCACTGCAGCTCTCTGTTGAAATAACTTAACAGCTTCACACCAAATAGTTATGAAATCAGAGTCAGAAAGCCACCGAGTTACAGAATAGAAGCTATCAGAGTCTTAGATGAGTATCGTATAGAAGCTATCAGAGTCTTAGATGAGTGTCGTATAGAAACTATCAGAGTCTTAGATGAGTATCGTTATCTTCAAGTTATTTTCAAGTTTCAGAATGCCCACCATCACTAACATGGATCATAGAAGTTCAATAAGTACTGATGTGTGCCAGCAATAGATCTGTGTGAAACACTAGACAAAGGCACACTCCACATTCATAGTAACGATGTCAACTAATTCACGGTATAAACTAATTCACGGTATAAACTAATTCACGAGACGTCAAAACAAATTTAAAGAAATAAAATAAAATAACAGCCTTTCATATTATTAAAAAAAAAAGAAGTTTATTATGATTATTAGTAACAATTTATTGTTTACAATAGATTAAAAAGTCAGCTCCATATTTATTTTTAAAAAAAAACAATAAAAAAAACAAGGTCTCTTCTTTTATGCCAAATAGACACCAGAAAAACTCCCTTCCTGATTCAAAGATATACTCTTAAATGACGCAACTCTCTGATACCTTTTGAGGTTACATACACACCAGCCCTTTCACAGAAAACAAAATGGGGGAGGGGGAATGCCCCCTGAATTTTAGGCAAAAAATTGTACCAGGCATCTCTATCTCGGATAGCAGAAAATCGAACTTAGCAAGAAATAAAGCAAGAAATAAATAAGGAAAAGAAAAAAGAATAAGGATTCAGAAAACTGACAGATTTGAAAGAATCGTTGACGCAACATGAGTCCAGTAGCAATGAGCGAGCACCAAGTGGACCAGTGCTATAGACACCTCTAGATACTTTTCATATGGGAAAGCTAGGTGCTCAGTCACTGGCCATTGCTATCAACAATGCAGTTCTGAAAAACAAAATTATTATGGAATAAATGTATTGCCCAATGCTATGACGGTGCTTCAGTAATGAATGTCAGCCTGCGAGGTGTTCAGGCAGTGATTAAAGAAATAGCTCCACAGGTAATCTACTTACACTACCATCACAGGTAATCCACATACACTACATCACAGGTAATCCACACACACTACCATCACAGGTAATCCACATACACTACATCACAGGTAATCCACATACACTACATCACAGGTAATCCACATACACTACATCACAGGTAATCCACATACACTACATCACAGGTAATCCACATACACTACATCACAGGTAATCCACATACATTACCATCACAGGTAATCCACACACACTACCATCACAGGTAATCCACACACACTACATCACAGGTAATCCACACACACTACATCACAGGTAATCCACACACACTACATCACAGGTAATCCACACACACTACATCACAGGTAATCCACACACACTACCATCACAGGTAATCCACATACACTACCATCACAGGTAATCCACACACACTACATCACAGGTAATCCACACACACTACCATCACAGGTAATCCACACACACTACCATCACAGTCACAGGTAATCCACACACACTACCATCACAGGTAATCCACACACACTACCATCACAGGTAATCCACACACACTACCATCACAGGTAATCCACACACACTACCATCACAGGTAATCCACACACACTACCATCACAGGTAATCCACATACACTACATCACAGGTAATCCACATACACTACATCACAGGTAATCCACATACACTACATCACAGGTAATCCACATACACTACATCACAGGTAATCCACATACACTACATCACAGGTAATCCACATACACTACATCACAGGTAATCCACATACACTACCATCACAGGTAATCCACACACACTACCATCACAGGTAATCCACACACACTACCATCACAGGTAATCCACACACACTACCATCACAGGTAATCCACACACACTACCATCACAGGTAATCCACATGCCCATGCAATTCGTCTGAATTGAGTCTATGCCCATTGTCTGAATGAGTCTTAGTCAAAATGGTTTAAAATATAGCAGAGATTGTTGACATGTTTTCCATCATACAATTGGTCATTGTGTTCGGGTCTGTTTGTGACCCTCGACATGAACTTGTTTGTGCCAGCATAAATTGATGATAATATAGAAAACTTGGAGCTTGAAACTCGCTGGTCTTATTGGTATCCATCTGTTCACAAAATAAAGCTTATCATTTAAATCATTGTTAATGTGTTGGAAGGTCATTGGATCTCAGACTGCCGACAGGTCAGACAAAACAGAAGCTCAAGGGGTGCACAAAAGAATTATTTCAATATCATCTCTGCGGTGTTTGTTTGCGGCTGAAATGTTTTTTTAGGGGGGGGGGGGGGGGGGGGGGGGAGAGCCAATTCATTTTCGCAAGAATTTAAAACTCAACAGTTGATTATTTATAAGCAGAACTTCTGCTAGAATTCACAAAAGAAGATCTTAAGGTATTTTGAAACAATGACACTTGGGATGATAATGTGAAACAATGACATTTGGGATGGTGTTGTGAAACAATGACACTTGGGATGGTGTTGTGAAACAATGACATTTGGGATGGTTTTGTGAACAATGACACTTGGAATGGTGTTGTTAAACAATGACACTTGGGATGTTGATGTGAAAGAAACTGATGCTATTGGAGTTGACATTGGAATGCCACTGAATGACAACTACTATGGTATGGTACAAGGCCACAAAGTGCTCAGGCGATGTCAAAAAAATTATTAAAACATTTTGTGCTGTCAATAACTGGTAAAATGGTTGCAGAAACGACTCAAACTTATAAGGATTCAATGCCTGTCAGAGTCCTTTTTGCATATGAAGACAAGTTCATCTCTGAACTCGATGCCCGATTTACAGTTAACTGTAACTTTCATCAAACCTTTTATGCCTGTATACAGACTCTTCAAACCTTTTATGCCTGTATACAGACTCATCAAACCTTTTATGCCTGTATACAGACTCTTCAAACCTTTTATGCCTGTATACAGACTCTTCAAACCTTTTATGCCTGTATACAGACTCATCAAACCTTTTATGCCTGTATACAGACTCATCAAACCTTTTATGCCTGTATACAGACTCATCAAACCTTTTATGCCTGTATACAGACTCATCAAACCTTTTATGCCTGTATACAGACTCATCAAACCTTTTATGCCTGTATACAGTCAAAAAACGTATTATATCCTACTGCGGGTATTGAAGCAGATGATTCACACACAACTGTCTTCTGCAAAGTCTTTTATCCAATCATTATAAAAAAATGAAACATGGCTGACCATTCATCAACATGCTTGAGTTGTCTTCCATGTGGTATTAGTAAGGTCTTGAAAGTAATCAACCTTGTCCTGACATCAGTTGAAAATGAAAGATTTTCTAGTTGCATGAAAAGAGTAAAAACACATCTCAGAAATAGATGTGGAGACACACGACTCAGTAATCTGCTGGTAACTGCATGCCTACAAGAAGATGCAAAAAAATAACATTGATGAAATTATTTATGATTTTGGCCATTTGAAACAAAGACGATATCCTTCGTGTTAGCAAATTGTTCTAATATATGCTTTATTGACAAAACTAGAGTTTGCATAGATTTTCCCCGCCTCTTGCTAGTTGCACTGCAGCAACTATAAATAAATAAATACATCAAAACCTCATTTCAAAATATTTTTATCCCATTCAGTGACCAATTGTTTCTGACAATATATTATATGCACTCATCTTGCAGGACTGGCTTGCGTAAGCAGATGAAATAAAATACTGGCCAAGTTTTGGATCACCCCCTCCAACACATAAGAGAAATGACATCCTTGATTTAAATTTCAAAATAAATATTGGATTTCACCAATTGATGAATTATGAATGAAAAAAATTTACTTTTTTTTCTTCAAACTTATACTTTTCAGCTTGTTCTTTGAAAATCTATTGTTAGCTGTAAATGCACGGAACCCTCAACTCTCATTTTGTTTTACATTTGATTCCTACAATTACAGTCACTGGATTACTTTCATAACGATGACAAAAAATCTGACAGTGAAGCTCTTGGTTTTTCTTGAGTCTCTTGCAGAAGAAATTGCTTCAGCTGTGTGTGTCTCTGCTTCTTTTTCATAGCGTTCACTGAAGATTGGAAGCTGAGTTCCCTTTTCTTAGTTTTTGGGTCCAAAACTTTCTGCTGTTGCTTTGAACTGGCATTGAGTTTACCTTGACTGCCCTTAGAGTCAATACCTTGACTACCCTTAGAGTCAATACCTTGACTGCCCTTAGAGTCAATGGTGTTTGAAAAGGAATTTATGTCAGAGGTGTATTGTGCTGGTGATATCGGTACTGAGGTGGTTGAAGTTATATTTTTTGCTTCCTGTTGTGATGGAAGGCGAAGACCACTGTGAATAAAACAAAGGAAGAAATTATTTTGTGAAGCAAAACTAAATCCCTGCTTCAAGGAGCTGACTCCATTAAAAGGATTCTTGTCAATTGACAAAAGGCTGTAGCTAAAACATACTGTATAAAGATTATTAACATACTTTTGGTTAAAAGCATACTGATGAATCTCTCAATGGCTGTAAAATTCTGTTATTTTGAACGAGGAATAGGAAAAATGTATATTTAAGTCCATGAATGTTATTCTATTTAACCTTTATCCGCAGACCAAATCAACTACAGCCTTTGTACAAACTTTCTATGAACTTCATAGGGGTGACGTGTTGGTATATATGTGTATAATATATATATATATATAAATATATATATATATATATATATAAAATATATTTTACTACTTTATAAAATAACATTCTAATACTGATATCTCAACTACAGTTTTTGTACATACTTTATATGAACTTCATAGGGGTGACGTGTTTGTATATATGTATATAATATATATATATATATAAATATATATATATATATATATATAAAATATATTTTACTACTTTATAAAATAACATTCTAATGCTGATATCACTCAAAGGTTCCGTTCACGGATTAGTTTAATGGGGGCTTTCATATATTACATTTTAGATAGCTTCTGGGTTCACCCAGTAAAGAAAAAAAATATTTGGTGAAAATGTCAAAAACTGAAGCTAATAAATAAATTTAAAAAATGGATCCATTCTGTTTAAATAGTGTGCGTTTTACAAAAAAGAAGCCATAATTTCCCACCTTTCATTTAAATGAATTTAAAAAGACACAAAAAAAAAAAAAAATTTAAATTAATTTTTGTTACAATCTGTTTATGTTATCAACTTTTAAAGCCTTAAAAGGTTTTTAAGAATTTTTTCACCCATGTACCTCATGTATAATATTAATTTTCTTACCAATTAATATCCACATCTTTTAATTTCTGCTTCTTTCCTCTTTTCTTCTTTTTCTTCTTTTTAATATCCATCACAGGTGCATTTTTAACCACATATTTAGCTGGGGAAAAATCTGATTGATAATAACTCTGTTTCTAAATAATTTGATGTGATATGATAAATATATGTAAATTTATTTAATGACAGAAAAAAGCAGATAACTTTCGTAATGCTGCCAGCCCAATGAAAAATATGAAATTATTTATCACAGTGAAAAAATAATCTTACACATGAGGAGCTTTTCCTTGTAGTCTCTCTTTGACTCATTGGTCATAATAGGAATTCTGGTTGTTCCGTCACATGACCGGCACTTCACAATCTTATGAAAAAGATGTAAAATTAATTTGTATGTAACACAATTTCTTTAAGATCTAGACAAAATTTCATTAGAGAGAAATAATAATTTGGTAATAACAAATTTTAATTAAATATATAAAAAAAGCAATTAAAATATTTTTTACATTTTTTAAACTTGGTGTATTTATAGATGTGACAAGCTCTTTTGAATGCAAGGATTTATAACTATAAGCTATGGATATGGAAGCAATGCATTCATAAGAAACAAAAATTTAGTGCTTTTAATTCAATGCAGAAATCGCTAAACATACTGTAATCCTTTTATTGCTGCCAGCTTAGGAAGGTTTATTATTTGTTAAATATTATTCAAAAGTGATAAACTCTCTAGATTAAGTTATCTGCTATGATTGCAGCTGCTAAATGTGGATTTGAGTCTGTTGTTAAGGGCTACTTCCTAAGAGGTACAAATTATGTACAGTTTGAAGGAGCCATTGTGTCCAGGCTTGCAGTACACTGATGCAGATGTCAACCAAAAAATGGGGGACTATGTGCCCAGAGTTGGGACCTCATTAAGAAGTTCATGTAGCATAAGCATTTTGATGCCTGGCTTGGAAAGTTCATATGGGCGCAAACGCTTGGTGCCTGGCTAGAAGAGTTTATATGGGTGCAAACTATTGTACAAGTACAATAGTTTGTACAAGTACAATAGTTTGTACAAGTACAATATTGTAGTTAGAGATTACTATTATGCTATTATTACTCATACAACTTGAACATTACCATCTGGCTTGAACTCCTTAAATATTTTTTAATCAAATGTCGATCTTTTTTCTTCATGGAAAATTCTGATTTCTTTAACAGACCGCTGATGTGCTTTGTCATCTTCTGACCAGACTTAATTCTTGGTTGATCATTTATGCTCAAAGCCGCAAAACAGCTCTGACAACGACTAATCTTTGACTGCTCTGGGAATAATTAAATAAAACATGTCAAACAACAATCTAGAAATATCTTGCGCTGTGCAGAAAAAATATTTTTTGACTCTTTACATTCTGGATTGAGTAGGGTAGTTTTACTTATGAGACTAACACTATTTTCAAGAAGACAAGTGCGTTTTTAATCCCATGCAAAGTTGGCAGCTGTTGTCTGAATTTAACAATTTGACTGTTTTGATTCTTTACACTGAGTTTATCCCCTCCTTAAGAATACCTACCTTATTTGGCTGATGAGCCTATTTCACCTAGAGCTAGGGTCATTCATACAAAAATATGTAATTAAACTTTTTTTTTAAATTAAAAAGTAAAGAACAATGGTTATGTGCTGATTATATTTTATATGTATACTCTCTCTATACTATTAATCTTCTCCCTTGATCCTAAAATAGTATTTTCTCTTTGCTCCCATGGGTAATTTTTTATAAGACACTTATTTTTCCATTGTAAAAAAATAGACATTAGTGCACCAGTTTGAACACATCTTTATTCTTTTATTGTAATGCAAACTGGTAAACTAAAGTTAGTTATGTTCTTCTCAAAATTAAAATATCTCATTCTGAGTTCTCATTGCTGTCTAAAGAAATAAATATAAGTAGAAGGCTGCTTTTGGTTCAGGTTTATGTACTAGCTTAATTCCTGCTCAGCGGGTGAAAAGTATATTTTATATCAATTAATTATTGTATGAGTTGTTAGATAATGCAATACTATTAGTATTTATCTTGTGACTACATTATACTCACTACTTTTGTCTTTCGAATGATTGATTTCCAGAAAAAGCCTGCAAATAGAATTTGTTCTTTTGTCAAAAGTTGATATTATAAAAATAACAAGGTTAAGGCTAAAAATCCTAGCTATTTGAATAGGGGTGTGCCGGATCCGTTTTTTCCAACCGGATCCGGATTTTCTTATGCGATATCCGCCGGATCCGGATTCGGATTCCGGAATAATCCGGATTCCGGAATAATCCGGATTCCGGTTTCTCCCGGATTTTGGTACTATTGGTAGATACTTCGGTAAGTCAAGGTGGACTACTACTTTTTGTGTATGGGAATTCGCAATCGGCGCCAAAAAATCCGAGTTTTTAATTTTCCGATGTGTGTGTCTATTTATTATTAAATTAGTACTTTCGATATATATTTGAGTTCCGTTCCATTTGGATAAGTGTCTTACGAGAGACGCCATGTTTCTACGCGTTCGCAGCAGGTTATGCAGCTCGCTCAACCTAATTTCGCCATGGGGTTGGCCACGCCCCCCTTTTTAATGGCGGAAGTTGACGATACTTAGGAAATATTAATTTATTATCACTATTTACATCAAAATAATTGATAACTTGTGTTTCAGAATGCATTTAAAGACATTTAAACTGGAATGTTTTAATTTGAGCTTTAACAACCCGGTAGAATCCATATTATAAATGATCAGAATTTACCGTGTGCAACACGTTGTCATTGGCAACCATTCACAGCCACTTGCATAACTGTATCGTAGTACTACCTCAGAGTTTCATTCATAAGAGTTTGCCGTGTGCAAAAACTATTAAACCATTGGTCAGGGAAAGCTTTAATTAATTATTCATGTGCCAAAGTTGAAAGTTTAAACTAAGTCTAAACAGTATTTTAGTGATAAGGCAGGGAATGCGTTGCCTTATATAAACTATATAGTCATTGCGCATGACGGGATTGGCGGAATGAGATCACAGAATGTGGAGATGCAGTCCATGTTAAAAAATGACAAACCAAGTCGTACTTTAAAAATTCATAACTTTAAAACTACAACAGCTAAAAATATGATTTTGGTGTTATAATTCTTTAAAAAATTACATCTTTTCAACTATGCCATTGGTTTATTTTTACAAAAAGTTTAAATTTTCTTATCAAAGTCCCTACACTATTGGCCACTATTAGCGGTGCTGACTCTAGCCTCTGGTATGTACGGAATATTAAACATTAAACAAGCTCAACGCTCGAAACAATTGATTAATGTATCGTGATCGTGTGGAATTCGGGAAAGAGAATTACTTTTATTTCAGATTATGATCCGGTGAGTCACAAAATCTGGCAAATTCCGAAATCCGGTATATTCTGGATTCCGGAATCCGGTTGTTCCGGATACATGTAAATCCGGCGGAACCGGATTTCACCGGATAGTGCAAAATCCGGCGGAACCGGATTCCGGCACACCCCTATATTTGAATTGATTTACTTTTTCAAAAGTGTGGGTTCTAATTTTAATGGTTTCATCTGTCTGTTCTTCTCTTATCATAGTCATGTTTTGTTAACTTCCAGCCCTGCTTGTAGCAATGCACCTTCTAATTCAATAAAGGCTTTTGATATGTCTTTACTACTTTTCCCTAACAGTGCTATGTCACCAGCATATGCAAGATACCGAAGGGGTTGGTTGTTGAGAGTGCCTACTGGTTGTGGATCTTGGGTCTCACTCAGAAAGTATCCTGCTATTGTTCCTTGGGTGTCAGCATGTATGTTTAATGTTTATTATAATTATCTGTAATGTTAGGTTAAATAGCATAACAGACAGAGAGTCTCCTTGTCTTAGGCCTTGTCTAATCTGAAGTTCCCTTGAATATTCTCCCTGAACCTTGATTTTAATTTTTGAGTTGTTTAATGTTACATGTATCAGACTTGTCAGTTTGTTGGGTATACCAAACTCCTGCATAGTCTCATAAAGATATTTTTTTAAACTGTCATAGGCCATTGTACAGCCCACATAGAGTTGAGGTTCTGGCCTCGGATATTACATTCGTAAAATTTCTCATATAGGCATCTGATGGTGAAATCTGATCAGTTGTTGATCTGTTTTGTCTGTATTCATTTTGGCAGTCACCTAGTTTTTGTCCAGCATACGGTTGTAGATTTTGGAAATTAGTTTTCTCAATATTTTGTATGTAACATTTAATAGAGGAATTCCAATGTAGTTTGTGCACTGAAATTGAAGAGTTTAGAACCTTTCTTGTGTATTGGCATTGAGGTTTTAGTTTAATGCTTCAACTTCTATACAATAATATTTTATTTTTATTTTACACAATCTTTTGATTTTGAACTTTCCCTCTAAAAGTCTAAGCAACTTAGACACTTAACTTAAGTACTTCATATATTTTTATGAATAAACTAAATACTAAATAATACTAATAAATTTGTATCTTTTTATCGTACAGTCGTACTCGTACAGTAATAATATATAATATATTGAAATATTGTATTATTGATTCAATTTAGTTTATCCTTTATTTAATATTTAACTTAAACTATTTTATTATTTAGTCTATTTAAATAATAAAATTCAAAAGTAAAACTAACCAGCAAGTTCGCAACAACGCTAGTGGTAATTAGTAAAAGTAAAATACGATTATACAAAAAATCTTACCTGTAGTAAGCTTTTACATGATCATCGGCTTTAAACCTCAATAGGTGATTGGGAATTAAAGTAAAAGATTCTGATTCTATGGCTTTAGGTTCCATTTCTATAAGAATGCAGTCGATTCGACAATTTCATGAACAGACAGGGATATCTTAGTTATACGTATACTTATATTCTCAATAAATTGTTCTCAGCATTACGCTAATGCGCTTGTATTTTTACAATTCATTTGTGGTACTAAAAACCTGGACGGAAAATAGCCCCTAAACAATAAATCTATGTCATCAAGATATTTCATAAAGATGGGCGCATAAGGTACAAAATCAAACATCATAATTAATAAGATGAATATGTATTAAATTAGCCTATAAAATAAATATTCAGATGACTTTTAATGAACTTATAAAAGATGTAAATGTATTAAAAAATATTTAACCTTTTTATATTGTTTTGTTAAAATACTTTTCACGTGTTTTTTAAATTTTTAAGCTTTAAAAAATAATAATTTTATTTCCTAATAGTTTTAAATTTTGAGGAACAAACATTGAAAACAGCTTTAAAATGTGCACCTCTTAATATGCGCCCCCCCCCTCCCCCCGGCCAAAAAAAGATAATTCAATTAATAAATCCAGTGTCAGAAGGGTTTCTTATAATTTCCTCTGTGGGGCATTTCGGATTTTCGGCTGGGCAGAAATGTTCCCTTTAAGGTTTGTTGGTTCGTGTGCAAAATCATAAAGTTGTATGCAAATTTTTGCAGCATAATTTTTTATTGTGCGCAAAATTTTACAGCCTAAAGACACAAACTTGACTTAAGTAGAAATTAGCTGCGTCGTACTCAAAACTGCTGCGCGGCGTCTGTGAGATTACTGCGTGGCCGCGCAGCTTAAAGGGAACATCGCTGGGTAGTAGCCATAGGCGTAGCTGAGGGGAGGCAGAGGGGGGCAGCAGAGGCGTAGCGAGGGGGGCAGATGTCCTCGGGCGCCAGCTAGTTAGGGGTGCCAAAATGTGCTTTGATATTTTTTATTGATGAAAATAATGGGCCTGAGAGTTGAAAAAAAAGAAAAAGGTGCGCTTTAAAATGGATCTTGTCCCCAGGTGCCAAATACCCTCGCTACGCCTCTGGGGGGCAGACTACCGGGAACGCCAAAACGGAGTTGGGTTGGGGTAGGGGTAAAATGAATTTTGTCACCTTGTGCCTAACATTTAAGCTACGCATGTCTTCCAGTGGAGTAGTCGTTGAAAGGGGACGGATGGGGTGTAACATTTTCTTTATATGGAGGGGCAGCATTTTCTGATGAAAAGTGCAAAGTTTGCATGTTTTCAAAGTTTTCGTTTTATCTAGCTCAACGTAAATAGAATCGAGTTCATTTAAAATCATACTAATAACTAAATTTTTTAAAGCATGATTCGGTCATACAACTTATAATTAAAACCCCTATCCCTACTTGAAATAACATTCTTTTTTTTTAATGATGAACTTTAATTTGACAATAGATTGCACATGTTTGATAGTTGATAGAACTATAATAAAATAATAGACCTTTATATTGCTGTCAAGTTAGTTACAGTGTTATTAAAGTCGTTGAAATTGTGAACTTGCACAAAATAAATTAATTAAAATTACTGATTTATGTTAATGTTAAGGATGGGAAGTAAGCTTTGTTTTATATTCAGGAGCGGCCAATATTCAGAACACAAGGATATTTATACTAGTATAGTGTAACCCTCTTAACATGATAAGCCATAAATCACCAAATACATTGACAAATTAGAAGCCCAACACTTGTGATGTTAATTTCTTCAGTATTTTTTGTGTCCTTCAGCTTCACCAGTTCTGTTTTCTATAATTTATTATAAACCAAGGTGATTCGTTTGAGGACGATCGCAATTGTTAACCAATTTGACAGCATTAGATAGAGGCTTGAGTATGGTCCGACAGTAACAAAAAAAGAAAGAAACTCCTCATTTGATTTGAATTAACTTGAATATATTCAGTTTTTAATTCATTAAATTTTTTTCAATGAAACCACTGAACAACGGCACATTGATATAATTATTTTTATGAACATGACAGTCTAATCTACATTTATTTCAGCATTTAAAATATTATTTTTACAAAATCAGTTATTGATATTCAGCTAACTTCTTGCTATTTTCTTTATTAATTTGTTTTTATTATAATTTTTTGGCATACATCCATCACAAGGCCAAGATAAATAGGTTCCCAAGTCAGCCAATCACCTCTCTCCAAAAATCTAGTAGATCCAAGGGAACACCATGGGTGGATGATAGAGAATGGCTTAGCAGTAGTAGCATAGCAGGCTTTGTCTGAATTTGCATTGAGTTAGTGTCAAACCGACTACTGGACTCCATTTCCGGGTTTGAATAAACAGTTTTCCTTTTCTTAGATGAGTTGCCATTCAAGGTAAACGAGTGCCATCCACCAGGAGTGCTGTTTTCTTTAATTTTGTTTTCTTTTTTTATTGCTTTCCTGGGTTTTGTTAAGGGTTGATATGAACTGGAATCCTCAAAATTGGACTTAGCATATTTTAGACAGCACAGCCACCCAACCATCTATGTTACTGGTATTATATATAAATATATATATAGAATTTAACAGTATTTAAAATCAAATTAAAATATATTTAAACTTTGGACTCTGTGGCTGCAAAAACAAAATCTATGAAGAATGGTAGCCTACATGTGTAGTATTGTATATAAAATTCAGGGCAAATTATTTATTAAAGGCCGGCACTACGTACACCGCAGCGGTGTCCCTAGCGAAACAATTGACTTTGGCCTGCGTACACTGCGGTGGTGTACCTAGCTAAATCATTGTCAGTGGCCTGCGTACACCACAGCGATTTAAATTTAATGTAGCAAAACGATGGTCTTTGCGAGTCTTTAACTTTTTGGCCTGACCAGTACTTGTAGATTTAATGTTATACTCTTGTTAAAACTGAAAACTATTTATTTAAAAATCGTTTGGTACCATGGGAGGAAGATTTTGAGTAAGTTCCACGTTTATGTGGCAAAGTACTTGTAGAGCATTTCTTATTATTTATTGGAATGGAGGGGGCTGGGGGTGTAATGTTAAACCATGATTTATTTATAGTTAACCACTTTTTCCCCACATATATTGCAATAGAAATATATTTATTAATTGTTGTAAGTTTTATCCTATGATTGTGAATATTAATAGGCATAAAATAGCTAATTTGAAATTATTCTCCCCCCCCCACCCCCGGTTGTTTTTTTGTTGGTTTTTTTTTTTTTTTTTGGGGGGGGGGCATATTTTAATTATACCATTGTATGTGATCCCTCGGGCGTGGTGTAAGATCCTATGATTGTGAATATTAATAGGCATAAAATAGCTAATTTGAAATTATTCTCCCCCCCCCACCCCCGGTTGTTTTTTTGTTGGTTTTTTTTTTTTTTTGGGGGGGGGGCATATTATAATTATAACATTGTATGTGATCCCTCGGGCGTGGTGTAAGAATGAATGGGAAGCCAGTGTATATATTTTGTTAGTACCAAGATATAATTACGCCACAAATACATTACGGGAAGAGAATCACATACAGTGATCATGAAGTCGTGAAGTTCAAGTTGTCCGAGGCATTGTCATTGTTACATCAAGCGATTGTCAACACAAAACAACAGTATGATGATCAACACGAAATACTGCAGTGATTTTTAAAGGTCTTTTAGCAGTAAGTAAATATCCTTGAATAAGTTTCACATTGGCATTACACATTAGTAAAAAATGCCAGCGGACATCAGCATCCATCCCCCCCCCCACTCTCCGGGTTGGGGGGATGCAAAAGGTAAGTTTGTTGTGCGGGACATCCTTTGTGGACAACCCCTATCCAGAGCCGTGATTTGTGTAGGCATTATACATGCGCTTTCAGAAACTTTCAGTTTGTTTTCTAATGCCTTATTACTAATATTATCGGTATTTTAAAAGTCAAAGGCCGGCACACCATGTTGAAACACTTAATAATCTGAATATAACATATATTTAAATTGTTTAAATTGCTGCAAAATATTTAAAAACTTCTCATGAAACTACTGTTGCAAATGAACATGATAATTCAAATACCGGTACAAAATATTTTTAATTAAAATGGGAGAAAAAAAACTTGATCACCTACTGAGAATTGATCTCAAAATTTAATATCGCCAAGCGTCCACTCTACCATTTGACCACACAAGACCTTCTCTAAGAGATATATCTTAAAACCAGGCCAATGGTACATTTTTGCCGCGGTGTATCCAGGCCGAAGCCCACGATTTTGCTAGGTACACCATCGCAGTTTACGCAGGCCAAAGCCGATGGTTTCGCTAGATACACCGCAGTGGTGAACGCATCCACTTCGTTTATTAAAACTGTTTTTTTGTTTTAGTTTTTGCAGGATGAATACACAAGGACTGGGATCTTTTAATTTTAATTAGAATAAGGTTGTTTCCTGTCAGCAGATCCGCACCTATCCTTCTCCATGCATCTAATAATTCCAAGGGAAAATCAAGTGGATGATACAGCTTCACCCTAGGCGTATCAAAGAAGTTGCTGGAATTTTCATTGAATAAATGTCCTGCCTACAAATACAAGCCTAAGGTACTCTCCTGATTTTGGTGTTGGGGTTGTTACCCTTAGCCTTTAAACATGGATTTGTGGTCACAAGTTGTTTGCAATCATAGTTTCCTTCTCCTAGTTAACAAGTCCCATCCACTCCAAGTCCCAGTGTTGTTTTGCCTGATTTGCAAAAAAGCTACAGTAACTTCTCATTTAAAATTGTGGAAGACCATTAGAAGTAGAAGTAAACATTTTAAAAATCAACTGGTATTTACAATTAATTACCACCACCAAAAAATTAAAACAAAAATTCACAAACTCCAAGCAAAAATTAAAAATTTGTAACTAAATAAGACTCATCCAAGGTAAATTCCAAACCAATATCATAAAATCAATCCAAAATGCTATGGACATTTATAAAATTTAGAATTATTAAGAATGGGACTAATTAATGTATAAATCTGTGACGGATTATAAGTCTAAAGAAAACAATGATTTGCAGCAATAATGAAAATATATACATTAATGTATTTTTAAAGCTTGCTCTTTGTCATTGATGTTACAAAATTAAAATACTCAACTAGACCAGCCTGCAAAGTATTGTCTTTTGAATCTTTAGAATCATCAAACACAGGTAAAAAGTCTGGAAGTCCATGAACAATTTTAGCTAAAAATATGCAGTAATTAGCTGTAAAACCCCATACATTGGCTGATTTTTCACCATCACTATATTTTACAGAACGTGATAAAAATTTACGCCCCCTAACATTAAATGTTGAATAGGAGATTTTCTCTTCATTTAAAAAGTCCTTAAGTGGCATATAAAATGCAAATTCTACCTCCGATGGATTTGGTACAGGTTTAAAATTGTTTTGAATCAATCCAACAACAGGGTATACCACAGTATTTGGTAGAGTTACACCCCTGGTTAAAATTGCTAAAATTTTCACACATTCAGGTGGTAAACCAATCTCTTCTTTGGCCTCCCTAAGGGCAGTTTCCACATCTGTTTTATCTGAGTTGTCTCTAACACCCCCAGGAAAAGAAACAGCTGATGGATGAGTCCTTAAGTTTTTTGAACGCTTTGTGAGTAAAATAAAAATTTCTCCATTTTTTACGGTTAGTGGCAGCAATACTGCCGCTCTTTTAAAATCATTTGTAGTTTCTGGATATGGTCCACATTTTCTTATATCAAAAGAAGATAATCTTTCAATGATAACTGTAAGAAGGTCTGAGTCTTTCATAACTGCACCTCTTCTGACAATGCTTAAAAATGTATTACAGGAATCTGGAAAGAGAAAATTTATAAGAGCATTTTATACACTTTAATAATAATAAGTGGTTATTCGGACCCAGCTACCAGAAGTGAGAGGTTGGATTAAAAAATGTTTAAAATATCATTGGAACCAGACACGCATCGCACTATTTGGACCCGGGTCCCATTAGACTAAATGCTATTCGAATGTTATTTGTGGTAGTTTATTTTAGTTAAACTGAAGAATTAGGTTCACAAAAATATAGGCCATTCAAATATCTTTTATTATTCCATACCAAATTTTATCTTACAAACCGAACAATAATATTTTAAATATTTTTTAATAAACCCAACCTTTCACTTCTGATACCGAATAGCCACAGCCTTAATAATAAATGATATTCAGATGCCTAAGGTTAATAAATATGAGTTCCAATTATTTCATGGTTAAAATTTTCTAATTAAAGGGGGTTTATTTACGATCATATTGATCATAGTATTGTAGTATTTATAAAAAATTCCATACCTGTATTCTGAAAAAATATTTCCGTTTCTGAAAAAATCTTTGTGTGGGGAATTCTTTGTGTGAGGAGTAATCTGAGTGGCTAGCTTTCTGATTCTGTGCGGGAAATCATTGAGTGAGAAATAATTAATATTAACTGTGTGCGAAATATTCATGAGAGGACATCCAGTTTGGTAAATATTATATAATTGAAGATTGCAGTGTCAGAACAAAGGCGGACCTACTCTATTCAATTAAAATTTATTGGATAACATTTTATCATTTCAAAAAAGGTGTCAAGTCTAGTAAGTCTAAACTAAATACATTTGATAAATTAGGCTAGCCTATAACTATAAAACTGTGACAATAAAACTTTAATAAAGTATTATTTATAAGCCTAAAACCAAAGTCTAAGACTAAGTTAAGTAAGTAAGGCCTTAGCCTTAGGCTTAGGACTAAATTTGATAGGTAATATTAATAATATTATAGGCCTTTAACTTTAAAGTATAATGTATAATTTATGATTTTTTGTTAAAAATCCGATATATAGCCAATCTCACAATTATTGTGAATTGAAATGTCATTTCATTGTTATTGTTTGAAATTTTAATTTATTACTAATATTATATTAAATTATAAATGACATGTGTCAACTATTATTATTATTATTGATTGTTGATGTGGTAACTATCATTAGCCGATGTATGTTTTATTCTTTTATACGTCTGGTTTGTCCGTGTATCTGAGTGTATCAGTATCAATGTATCATCGCCGATGCCGATACTAACGGTATAGTATACAATTGTTAAATATTTGTCGGTCAATTTTGCATATGCTGCAATATGCAAAATTGACCGACAAATATTTAACAATTGTAAGTCCATCTCTTCTGACTTACCTAGCGTTTTCTACTCTTTTTCATATTATCCGGTATACTTTTATACGCGTTAAGTTTGAGGCAATTTGAAGGGTTGATATACTAATACTATACTATATTCTGCATCAAATTCAACAGCTGCCTTCGAAACACTAAACGAAACAGCTGAGACCCAGCCCCACTTGTGAAGTCCCAATGGTGATATGCCCTTTGAACCCGTGTTTATTACTATCTTACTATCTGATAAAATGGATATTTTTTTTTAAAAAGTATACCTGGCACTAGATGGGATAACTAATTCTAATGTAAACTTTTTAGACATCTCTGGGGAATGTCAACAAAAATAAGGGAGGGTAATGGAAACGTTACTAGACGAGTGTGGGGCGAGTCAAAATAAATTGACGTCAATACTCAACAATCATATTTTAATTTTTCTTTGATCTGTAACTATACTATACTATAATAAATATATGCAACAACTAAAACTAAAGTGGTAAATAATCGTAGATCATTCATTAAGTTGCAAAATTATAATTAAATAATGTTAATAATGGCTATAATAATGGCTATAACTATAACAATGACAATGTGTCGTTGGAATGGTCAGAACAACACCGAAGCCGAAGATGAGTAAGAAATTTTTTTTAAAAATGCGCCAATTCGAGTGGTTGTCAGATCGAGGTGATCAGTGATGGCAATTATTGCACAATGTGAAAATGCTTATATTTTAAGCGCTAAATGGTTGGACTAGACCAGGGGTCTCCAAACTACGGGCCGCATGCGGCCCGCGGGGCTCTCTCATGCGGCCCACGGAGACCTTTTGTCAACGGAATAAAAAATTGCGCAAATGTACGTGTATCCTGACAAGATCAGACGCCGCTTACTTGGACGTTATGTTTTTACCGAATTAAAATAGAGGCGCGCAGTAGTGCGTTATGTTTTCTAACCGATCATTACTTTGCAAAACCTTATTCGCTGCTTAGTTTTTCTACTTTCGTACACAGTCAATGAAATGCCATGATATAACGCCATTTAGTGGCGGAGCTTTGCCGGCCGTGTTGTAGACAAGGGTGAAAACATTGTGACTTAAATATCGAAAAATGCAAGCAAGTTTCACCAATTTTTATTTACAATGGATGAATTTCTGGACAGCTGTTCCACCTCTCAAATGCTTGTGTTCGTTAGGAGTGTTGTTGAAGACATGAACATAACACAAGATCTATACACCTCTTAAAGGCCTTCAGATCCAAACTCGTCTTGTTTTTGGAACAAGTACAGACCAACAACTTTACGCTCTTTTTGCAGTGGGCGGTCTTCATGGCAGAAGCGGAGTTTCCCACGTCATTTGTATGCGAGATCATCAAAGACCTCCAGCTGCAGTGTCAGCAGCGGTTTTCTGACTTGGATTTAAAGGCAGAAGAAGCGAGACTTTTTCAAAACCAATTTGAAACAGATGTGGCCAGTTGCCCAGAGGAACTGCAGCTGGAGGTCATTAACTGAATGAAATAATACATATAATTAATTAAAAACAACATCGATGTTTTGATTCTTTTTTATTTGGACCTCGAGTACAGTGATTATTTCAGAAATTTTCCGGGGGGGGGGTGGGGGGGGGGCCCCCCCCCCCCCCCTATGAGATAATGCTGAAAGAAACCCTGCTCGAGTGTGTAGTCGGCCCGCGAACTACTGTTTGATAGTTAATACGGCCCTGGGGCTGAAAAGTTTGGAGACCCCTGGACTAGACCAGTGAGTGGTCATGTTCTCCTTTATTTGGTCGATCTTTTTCCGCACCTTCCTTTCCTTAACCAATCGCCGTGGAATTACTCCCCGCTCCCTCTTTCTTACCTAGATATCTCCTACTTACTAATGGTCTACCACGTTCCTCTTTCTGTCCTCTGGGATACAACATTTCAGCTAAGTTTTACTTTCTATACTAGTGTTAGTCTTTTGTTTGTTCGCCGAAGAAGGCTTCTTGCCGACACGTTCCTTGTTTGAGTTGCGCCCTTTTTTTCCCTCCAGGTTTCACCATACCTTGTTTCACAAATTCCCTCAGACATTTTGAAAGAAAACAATAGGAGCCAGAATGCTCAATTCATTGATCGTGGGCCTTCAAGATACAGAAGAGGAAGTACTTTTTTAAAACAATTTAATGTTAAGAAACAGCAGTTCATCCCTCTGCATGTATGAACAAACTTCTCCACTTCAGCTCAAAGCAAGGTTGCCAACCATCCATAAATTTAGGGACGTTCCGTAAAAAATGTGTCATAATAAGATAACTTGTCCATAAACGTCCTTTGAAATTTAGGATGTCCGTAAAAAAATGCGAATGAACCATCACAACAAATGGATAAAGTCGATCAACCGGGTAGTTACGGGTAGTGGACATTGAACAAATAATTTTTTTTTTTTTTTTTAAGGGAATACATAGAATGCATTTGAACAAGCGCTATTTTTGCAAACGATGCTCATCCAACAAGAATCTCTTTATTTATAAATACTTAAACCATGTATCTAAGTCTAAGGTTAAATATCCCAGCCTATGCCGACGCATCTATCTTTCACTAACGATTGTGTGAAAATCGACATAATTATTTCTTCAAACAGTAAAAAAGTAATTAAACAACCCCAAAAAACAAAAATTTTCTTATTAATCCTTGATAGGCATTTTTTAAAGTATTTTATTTTATATTAATATTCGAATGCCCCACCCGCTTTTCCAGCTATTTCAGGAGAACAAAAGAAACTATTACGCACCAAACGAACGGGTCATTATACTTTTTTAAAAAAATATTTAAAAAATCGGGAATTTTATTTCTTGAAATCAGTGGCATCACATTTCCTACATATTCCCCATGAAAAACAAGAATAAAAAAAATAATGATTTTTGGGAATGGGGCTGAACATTTTAAAGAATGTTTTGTCATCGGCAACAATTCCATGTGCTAAGTTTCAGCTCAATGTTAAGACGAGAGGGACTCCGCCTGACATTCTTATATAAAGTGATCATGGGACTGGTGCCGGCCATCCCAATAGGCACGTACCTCACCCCACAGAAGCCGGGTAGAATGATCAGAGCAAAACGCTCACTGAACACGGACTTCACCACTGACATTCCCATAAACAATTACACCAGAAACAATAGCAAATGCTTCAAAGTGCCTCAGTGCAACACGGTGCAGTATCAACAATCTTTCTTCCTACGCACAATAATAGCATGGAACAACCTGACAACCTGAACGATGCCACTGTGAACTCGACATCAGTCGAAAGCTTCAAGGCTGCCCTGGCATCAGCTAGGAGCTGTTAGAATAGCAACATCATACCCCCAACTGTTGCAAAGATGCCAATACATGGATGCAGCAACGGAACATGAGAGACACCCAAGGGTGAAAGCATCTGTCAGCTTGAGGGATACCACAAAGTGTGACATTTGTTTCCCACGCAATGCATGTAAAAGATTTAACGTTAATGTTTGACTTTCACTATGCTCTTTGTTTTTATTTCCTGAAAAATGACGTGATCATTATTCATTGTTAATCACATTTTAAAAACATTTGAATGATTTTTAAAAATTTAAAAACATTTTTTTAAGGTTCTCATACATAAATGAAGTAATTTTGGTGAATCGATTTTGTGCTCTTCTATAATATGTCATCAATATGGAAAGGTGATGGGTCTTGCTTATTCCGGGCACTATAATTCTGCGACCATGGACGAGTTGTACGCCAAGTTGTTGATAAATAGTTTAAGTATGGAATGCGTTCACTTAATTCAGATGATGTACATTACGACGATGCAGAGTTGTACGCATAAAATAACTCATAAATGAACACGGTAAGTTTGACTCTGCTTGTGAGGTGTCGCTAGTTTCGGATGTTTACAAGAGATACAAGTTCAAGATTTGTTGTAAACGTGCATTTGGGCGTGTCTTTTGTGGAAGGGCCTGACGCAAAGAGGGCTGGGTTCTTTGGAAACACATGCATTTTACGGGGGGGGGGGGGCTGAGTTAATTAATTTGAAAGTTACCTAACTGGTGGTCGGGGAGATTGTCATGGCCTCAGATAGGGTGATTGATATAGCCCCAGACCGGGTGATAGTCATTGCCTCGGAAAGAGTAATTGACATGGACTCAGACAGAGTGATTATCATGGCCTCAGACAGGGTGATTGACATGGCCTCGGACAGGGTGATTAACATGGCCTCAGACAGGGTGATTGACATGGCCTCAGAAAGGGTGATTGACATGGCATCAGACAGGGTGATTGACATGACCTCAGACCGGGTGAATGACATGACCTCAGACAGTGTGATTGACATGGCCTCAGAAAGGGTGATTGACATGGCATCAGACAGGGTGATTGACATGGCATCAGAGTGAATGACATGACCTCAGACAGTGTGATTGACATGGCATCAGAGTGAATGACATGACGTCAACTACCCAATTAAATTTTAAAAAGCTGTCACCCGAAAACTTTGCCTTGGGATGACAGTCATGAAATCACATGGGTTGATTAGATACATCGCACGCACACACACACACGTTAAAACACTCTATTATAACTCTAGTCGAGCATCTTGGAGGTTTTTTTTCTGGCAACATTTGTCGATGGTACTCTGCAACACTGTCTATCAACGAATGCCCAGGAACTCTGCAACACTGTCTATCAACGAATGCCCAGGAACTCTGCAACACTGTCTATCAACGAATGCCCAGGAACTCTGCAACACTGGCTATCAACGAATACCCAGGCAGATGGTACCCTGCAACACTGTCTATCATGGGCGCCCGCAGAAATTTTCTAGGGGGGGGGGGAAACTATTTTTAGTAATGTTTTAATGTAGTTTTAATTTACTGTAGCGTATTTGTATGGTGAACGAACGGACAGGACACTGTAGTAATGAAGGCCATACTGTGGCATCAAATTTTTTATCAACACAATATATGTATATAACAAAAAATATTTAAACGTACATTTAAAATAAAATTTACTCTTTAAACAAGAACTGAAGTCATCTGTTATCGCTACCAAACATATCTACAATATTGTCCTTAATGTTTTTTGTTGTTGTTGCAGTTCACTTTGTCTCTGTGTATGCTTAACATGCACAACCCAGACAGACGTTCATCTGACATTGTAGATCTAAGCCATGTTTTTACACGACGTAATGTGCTGAACGATCGCTCTACCCTACATGTTGTTGCTGGTA